CCCACAAATTTATGTCAAGAGAATATATAGACTTTTCAGTTAGCAATGATTCAATTTATTGCATAAAAAGGAAGGATAAAAGATTCGTTTCTATCCTGTCTTGCTTGGAAAAGGCAACTGAATTGAAAGAAATTAATAGAAAAGAATGAGATGGAAAAACAAAAAACAGCACAACAAAAAAAGTACTGTGCCCAAACAGCATTATTTCATATAATAAGAATATGGAATATGTCGACTTATTTGATCAACTGAAAGGACTATATGAAATAGACCGCAAAAGCAAGAAATGGTGGCACAGGATATTTTTTTACTTTTTAGATGCGAAGTATAGTAAACACATTTATTCTATTTAAGTTTGTTCGCGAACCCGATCATGTTGTAAAAACAATGAAAGATTTTAGTCTCTCAGTTATAGAAGGTCTAATGGCATTTGCAGGCAAGAAAGAGCTGAAAAATGAACTGAAATCCCCAGTTCAAATAAAAACTAAAAAACCATTCGTACAACCAGAAAAGAAACTAAAAAATGTAAGTTACACGCCAGAGAGAAGGAGCAGCAGAAAATGTGCATATTGCAGCACATCGAAAGAAGAACGACGACGAACATTTTGGATGTGTGAAACATGTGAAGTGCCTCCATACTTTACAAAAGAATGAAACAACATTTTTTCAAAGTTTTATGAAAAATGACTTTTTTCATTTAATTAATCATATATAAATGTTTTTGAATCAAGTGCCAAGCCAATTTAATATTTTATTTAGTATCTATGTACGTGTATCAAATTTTTAATTTTAAAATAATATCAAAAAAATATTTTCTTTTGTTCCTAAAATTTAAAATATTAAATATATATATGCAGAATGATGCAAAATTTTACAAGTCATGCATATATGCAATAAGTATAAAATGCATTTTAGTGTGTTTATTATGGATATTTTAGAATGCACGCTTTATTTTGTTTAATTCCACATATGATTTTTTTTTCCTGCTGTGCACCAATATGCTATAAGACATGTGCTAGTTGCATGGTGGGACAAACGGTATCCCACCTTCCCACGTAAAAAATAAAAGCACAGAATTTTTTTCAAGCCTTAAAAAGGCACTTAAGTAAGCCCATCTGACTTATTGTAAGGCATTTTTTTAAAGATTAAAATATATTTTAACAATGCGTGTCGCAAAGGGTTAAACAGGATGCTGTGTACATGGTATTCTTTGAAATTTATTGTTGTTACGTTAATTTATTAAAGCGAAGTGTGCGTAGTTCGTAGATTCGTTTGTTGCCTAGACTGTGCCATTCGCAGATGCTTTTTTAAGTTAAAACATATCGACATGGAATCTTGTCAAATAATTTTGGTTAGAAGCTTTATGGTTTTGATATCTAAATTTTTTGTTTTTGTTTCGGATTTTTAGCTTAAATTGTGTGCTCAAAACGTGGTTTTTGCATTTGCGAAAACCGTGTTTTTGGAGACATTTTAGGCTTTAAGTTCAAAATGTAGACAAAAAAAATTTACATAGCAATATGGCAGCGTGGAGTTTCTCGCCAAAAATCAGAGTAGTTTCTATGAAATTAACCTTTTATATAAATTAAAACCATAATCTTTAAATAGTTAATTACTATTGTACTTCCTTTCTTGCATTAAGGTTGCCGCAATTATTTTTGACAGCACTGACATCAGCAATAGTTTGGCGATTTTTTACGGTCCTTAAAAGGGAATACAGTAGAATTGCAGAAATCCGCAAAGCTTGGGACCAGAGGTTGTGCGGATTTTAGGATTTTGCGGATTTCAGGACAGAAAAGATAAATCATAATATTCAGACTAAAAATGCAAAATAAATAAGACACATTAGATCCATTTAATTAAATTATTATTTACATTATTGCAATAACTTATATGCATTAAATTATTATTACATACATACACTGATTATATTATTCTTTGTATTACATATACACAGCATGGAGGTTTGCCGATTTCGCCTCATGCAAAGATTTCCAGTTTCGGATTCTGATGTTAAAATCACTGTTGCTGTAAAATTTCAACAGCTTTTCTATATTTTTCCGTATATCATACACAATCGTATCGCAATTCTGTACGATTCTGCTATAAACCAAGGAGTAGCACCTGTCTCCATCTTTTGCAGCATTTGCACTTTTTGCATTATTGTCAATGCAACGTGTTTACGTTTTTCAACGTTGCAAGCAGTAACATCATAAATGTGTTTCTAATCTCTAACTGTATTAAAAAGGGCTGAAATTTAAAATATTCTTAATTTATCCACAAAACATCCGAATAAAAAAAAAAGGTAGCACTAAATAATCTCGTGAAATAACAAAGCTCAGAAAATACAACAACGTGAATCGTGAACTTGAAAGAAGAATTGAGTGAATCGTCTGCTTTCTTACCTCGATGCAGATTAGAGGAGAAAAAAACTTCTATCATGATGTTAATAATTTGGTATTTCCGTTATGACTCATTATTATTTGGTAATTATGACATCATTACTCGGTAAGTATTTTTTCTTCGATATTTCGTACTCAAATGTTGCGGTTTCCGGAACCTATAAACTGAATGCTTATATTTTGAGAGGCAACGCAGATTTCAGGTCGGCGGATTTTCGGTATTTGACTGTAGTACCTTATTTTTTAAACTTTCACCTTTAACCGTGTGATATATATATATCGTGATCATTACTGCATTTATATAAAGAACATGTTAAACATATATAACCATTATTACAGATAACTGTTCAAATTAATGGTAAGAATTAAAAAAGTATGAAAGTTAATAATGCTGGAGTTATATATATATATATATCAATCATAATATAAAATACTGAAATGAAAAAGTATGTAGATTTACTTAATCACAACAATAAGTAATCGTTTACAATTTGTTCTATGTGTATACTTTACCATCTGAATGCAAACGCTACACTTCGCCTTACACGATTTTCGCCCAGCAGAGCTTTTCTCCTGATATTGGGCTAAGGAGGGAATTTTTGTAAAGCGCCTTCCCTCTTGGCGTCAAAAAATTCCTCCCGAGGATATGATGATTTCTCGCAATTCAAGACGGTGGAAAAAATTATGCCATGTGCCGCTTATCTGAGTTTTCCCGTTTAACTGCAAGTACAAAATGAAAAAATAACTCCTTTAAATATTAATGCTGTAACTAGCTCAACAATTTTCGGGTTTAGAAAATGCTGCCGCCATTATGTTTTAAATTTTAAACAACTACGCATCATTAATATGCTCATTAACAGTTATTGCCAATATGATCACATGGACTATTTCTCGATGGAGGTTGGGCCTAAAGCTTGAGAACTCTGATAATGCACTACTTTTATAAAGGAAAGTGGGAGCAACTGCAAAGCAAACAATTTTGGCAATAAAGACAGAAATCTTTAAAAAATCGAATTTTTAAAAATCTGCTGAATGAAGAATTGAGCAAAAGTCAAAGGCTGCCTGTATTCATAAAATTAAAAAATATTAATTCAAAACAAGCAGAGATATACTTGTGCAAAAAAGCAAGGTTATAAATGCAAACCAGGGGTTTTCAACCGGTGGTACGCAAGAGAAAAATAGGCGTATGCAAAGAAGCAAAGTATTTTTAAATATTAAATTTAAAACTTAAAACCCCCAACATAATGACTGAATTTTTTCTCCGACACTCGTAAATTTATGTGATCTGAGCTTTGTTAAAGAGTGGTGGTGTAGTAGTACTTTGTAGTGGTGGTGCTAAAGGTTTTCCATTTTTTTTAGATGGTACACATTAGTCAAAAGGTTAAAAACTGCTGATTTAAACTATTAGTAATAAGCTATACACTTTACATGCATTTCCATGCAAAAAATTGAGAATTCCTTCAAATTAATTTTCCACATTACCTGTTACATTATAACAAATTGTATAAATACTAAAAAACTTTTATGCAAAAATATTGCAGAAAGTGCAGAATCGCCCACTTACGAATTGCACATACTCGGTATCCATGTGCACATCGACCTATTTTCACTTAAACAAAATCCCACAATTACACAAAAATGGCATTGTGTACTCCCTTTATCCATGTACAGATCAATCTATTTTTCACTTCAAAAGGTCAAAGAAAATTGACAAAAATCGAATTCTTACTCTTGTAAAAAGCGCCAAACAAATACGGGGGCGATTCTGCACTTTAGGCAATTATTTATATTAATGTTCCATTTATAGTCTCACATAGTATATTTGTAACTTTCACTCTTATTCGAAGGGAGGGGACTGCCAGGACAGATCGCCGTTCTTATGTACGAGAAGTGAAAGGTTATCGGCAAGATTTCTTCAAATAATTTAGGTAATTCAATAGACGATAAGCGTCTAATTTTAAAGTCACCACTTTAGGGGCGACTCTGAGAGTTAATGGCCAATTTTTGACAAAAATTACTTTTGAGATTCTGTAAAAAATTAATACAATAAACTCAGTCGTTTCTTTTCTACACCTAATATACTATATGCAATCACATATAAACGCTTTTAATGTAAAAAAAAAAAAAAAAAATGAAATTCAGCTTTACACGAAGAAAAGAGTATCATAATGTATCAAAACATAAGTATGATATAAGAAGATATCGTTAAACATCAGTTCTATAAATAAAAAAAAAGTTTTAAATGTGCAAGTCATTAACAGAATGTAATTCTTAAAAGAAAATTATAACGAAAACATAAGATCGGCACCTGTTAAAAAAATGATCGCTAGTTAAAAATTGAAGAAATGTTTGTTTACACTTTCAAAACCAAGATTCCTTTTTTCTTCCAAAAAAAAAAAAAAAAGGCATGAACGACAGCAAATACAGAAAGTAAATATACTTTTAGAGTGATTACTTTTTTACCCCTATTTGTAATTACATGATAAGCCAATGTCAGCACGTGAAATTTATATTAAAACTTTAAAAATGAATCATTAAATTATGAATTACGAACAAACATTCATTTAAATGATTTCAAACAAAACTAAAATACTTCCTTACCTTCCAAGCTGAATATAACTTTCGCATTCGCCGATAGAAAGCATCTTTATCAACTCTCAAATTCGCCATTATACATTTACTCTACAGAAATGGCGTCGCTTACATACTCCGTCATTAACGTTTCGGACAAATGGCGGGAGAAGCAAATTTGAATGCTGCCACTTTAAATATTTTTTATAGTAATTATAAAAGTAAAGTGAGTGCTTTGAAATGTATGTAAAGAATGCAAAATGATTAAAAGGTAATACAGCGCTCGGCTGTTCCATCGTTTTGATTAAAAATATATTTGAATTTAAATTTGAATATGCAAAGCATACGAGGGCTACCTGCATAAAGAAATGAATGCGGGAATTACCGGCTCATATTCATATTAGACATGGGGATTTCATTAAATACAGACTTGATCTTTGCTTTCCTCCTGCACGAAATTTCGCCATAGATTGCGCCAAAAGATTTCATTTTCCCGCCAGTTTCGTATTACGTTAGAAGCGTGGTTAATATTTGAAATTACGAGCAAGTAAACCGTATTTTTGGATTTGCAAAGCTATAAATTATAATAAATTGGCTGATATTCATCTAAATGAAAGGAATATGGAATTTGAAAACAGACTATCTGGAAAATCTTGCAGTGGTATTTCAAGATTATCTCAAAATATATTCACAGATCGTATTTTTCTCACAGATCTTATTTTATTCTCGAGTGTCAAGATGTAGAAATATCTTTTTACTCGACTTCTGATAAGAATCTGGGAGAAGGAGAAAGAGTAGTGTGAAAGGAGGTGTGGGAGGCGGAAAAAGAGAGTCAGGTCCGCGTTAGCGGCGGCGAAGAAGGGGGTAAGTTCAGTGTCGTTATAAGATGTAGCCGCGGGTGGCAGACCGCAGAGTCAGTTAAGACAGGACTTAGAAGAGAAGGGCTAACTCATAGAGCTTTTCCCCCTGAAGCAGAAAGTGAGAAGTGATGACGTAGCCATGATGACACTGAGCGCGCCAATATAATCCCAGCTTGAAATTAGCGTTTTTTGAACCAGCGTTTAAAATGAGCTGTGTGTGAAAGATAACTATAATTTGGAAGAGGCAAATTGTTACTGCCTTTAGCATTTTAGACTGAAACCATTAAAAAATTTAATATGATTACTCAATTTTAAAATGCTTAAGATGACAGGTCTTATGACGATGCACGTGAAATATTTTCACTAGTCACCTGATTTTTTTCTTTTTCAGTAATGCATTAATCTGCGTCTTTATAAAAAATAGGCTTTAGACATTTTTCCAAATTCTCCGATTTGTGCTCCCCCCCCCCCAAATTTCGCGATTTGAGATTTTATTCTGATACAATTTCTGTCTAGATGTCTCACCTTTGTTGCTGAACAAACATTCTAAAATTTTTCTTTTCTCTATTTTCATACTTTTACACTTAATACAATTTCTAAGGATATTATTTTGTTCAAATTATCAATGCTTCTTGTATCCTTAAACATTCAGGATATCTACATTTTCATTCGTGAGTTTTATTTTCAAAATCCTTAAATTTGATTTATTGTCATCATCATTTCGTTTATTATTGCATCAATTTACTTTCGGCACAGCATTCATTTCAACAGTTTTTTTGTGGATAAAACAAGCGATTTTTCATATCATCTAAACACTGCATAGAAAGGTTCGCTGCCGATTTTTCCGCTCTTCACATAATATAATCTTCTCTTTGACATTTGTGTATCCATTCTTTCGTCAAAAATAAACTCTCATTTGGATCCTTTGGTCCCATGAAATAAAATACTCATCTTTCATACTCCTGTAAGGGGACGCACTCAGCGCAAAAGCCATATTACTAACGATATTTACAATATAGAATTTAAAAAAAAACTGACTAAAATTATATATAATTATTTTAAATATATACATTATTAAAAAAGGATATATATATTATTAAATTAATTTGAGATATGTAACCTCTAGAAAATCGTCTCGCGCTCAATGAAACTATTGTTTTAAAGCGGGAAATCAGGACAGGTGG